CTCCGCTCCGCGCCTCTCCGCGCCCGCGGCTGCTCCCGCCCGGCGGCGGCGGCTGCGGCTGGGAGCCCGGCGGGTCCGGGCTCGGCATTAGCCGATCCCATTGACAGTTTGCAGCCAGCAGCTGCAGTCATTAAAAGCCATTTACACCCTGGCCTCCTCACACAAAGCTGGAGCGCCAACAATTATCTGCTTGCACATTTCAGGACATGAGAGTGTGTCCCTAACAGGCTTAGGGGAGCGCTGAATCCCCGGCCGGGCTGGGCAAGCACAGGATCCGCTCCCCGAGGTCTGGCTAGCCACCACCGCGCCTCGGTGACCCGCTTCTTCCAGCCGCGGGAGCCGGCGGAAACGTCTGAGGATGCTGCCTCCGTCCTTGTAAGAGGTTCTGGCTAGCAGAGCTCCTGTGCTGGACCATCGCGGCAYAGAGACGAGAGGGGGCTTCAGGAAGACCTTGATATTAGCTGATAGGCAGGGTTGTGGGTTTGTTTGGTTTTAAACACACAGGCACATAGAATAGATGCGTTGAAATACCCTTCGGAAGGATATTGCGGAAGAAAGATTTTCGCCATGAATGCGGTTGTTACATGTTTCACGTGGAGGGTGTCTGGATGGAGGAAAAGAGAGGGAGAGAGAGAGAGAGAAAGAAAGAAAATATACAGAAGCTTTCACAGATTCATCAGGAATACTAATAGAGGGTTTTCTAGCTATAGCTGAACGACCAGTGAGATTAAAAAAAAAAAAAAAAAAAGATACCAATCCAAAACAACCGAGGCGGTTGGGATGTTATTCTGGAAACACATTTTAAGGTAGTTTAATTTGCAGCTTGAAGAAAAATGGAATCAAATATTAAGAAACTCCCGCAGGAATTCCCCCCACTCTACCCTCTGTAATCCTTTACATAAAAGGAAAGGATTACAAAGAAAAAGATTTTGTGTGCGTGTGTATTAAAATCTTTGGCTAAACATATTGTTGTCCWATTAATACCTCCAAGTCGATTTGTAGAGGGGCTGAGAAGTCTCTTTCCTTCCTTAGCTGTACGACTGGAAATACGAGCCAGGGAAGGTGGGAGGGTAAAAAGAAGTTTTTCCCAAGTCTGTTAACAGAAGTGCTTAAGCAGATCACTAAAAATTAAGAGGGCGAATTATTTCCATTAGGACTATGAAGCCATGTAGCACACCGATGACAGTTTAGTGGAAATCAGATGAATGTGTAATACAGCGAGCTTCTTCCAGTCCAGCAGCTCTTCCAACTGGACCTATTCATCTGCCACTTGGAATTATTTCACGAGGAGTGCGCTGTGAAAGGATCACAACCAGTTTGGAGCGCAGCTAAAGAACTTCTACCACCCATAGCAGTATTATTATTATCCTTCGGATAGGGCAAGTCACGCTATGTTTTCACATTTTAATTGTAATATCTCACTTCCCCCCCTCCTTCCCTCCATTGATGTCTGAAAGTAGTTTGGGCTCCAAGCCTCACCCCTCGATCTCCATCGGAATGCAGAAAAGATCTTTAAAAAAGTTTTGAATTCCTCAATGATTTTTCTTCTAGAAAGGCGGCTTAGGATAATTATTTCAGCTTTATTGAGGGCAGATTAGTTGAAGTCTGGATGCTGCGTTTCAATACTCGTTGTACATGCCTTTACAATGTCGGTATTGTTTGCTACTGTGTGTGAACCTATTCAAAATATACACTTTTTAACACCAAGCAAAGTCCTGTCTAAATATACACAGTAAGTCTGGAAAGATGTCCATGACCCGTACAAATCTCTGTAAATCACACTTCCATAGCTACAGAAACCAAACAAAAGAGTTACCAGCTCAAGATGCTGATTAAATCTTCTTAAAAGCAACATACCTAATAATAAATATAGTTGCATGGTAGCAAGGTCTGACGACCCAGCTGTGTCTTACTGAGGGATGGAATCAAACCACCACCATGGAGATTTTCCCTGCTCTCGATTAAAAAAAATAAATTTTAAAAAAGGGCTCAAACCCACTTTTGCTCTCACCCATTTCCTCATCCCCACGCAAGAGCCCTGCAAGTTCGGGGCAGAAATTGAGGGGCAAAGGAGAGRCGCGGTGTAAAGCCCCGGCGGATCTGGGGGTGAGGAGCAGCCTCGCAAGGTCGCCAGGCTCTGGAGAAAGGAAAGGGCGAGAGGAGGCGAGGCGAGCGGGAGAAGGAAAGCCAGAATGAAAGAAAAACAAAGTGGAGAGAGGGAAAAGAAAGGAGAGGGAAAGGGAAGACGAGGAGAGGGAGGGCGGGAAGCGAGGAGTGGGACGGGGGAGGCAGCGAGTGGGGCGCCGCCGGGGTCGGTCGCGGAGCCGGGCGGCCGGAGCGGATCCAGGCTGGAAGCCCTGGGCGGCTCCCGGCGGAGCGGCCGCGGAACTCCGCGGGCAGCGGATCCCTCCTTCCGCGGAGAGGGACACGGAGCGGGAGAGGGGAGGAGAGACTCTTCGGTGAACCAGGGATAAACCCAGCCTGTACTGTATGTGCCTGCTTCTGGGAGGGTCACCGGCGTGAGGATGGGTCTAATGATCTCATCTTTCTTTTCTTCCCCGGCACTATTAGTGCTCAGATAGGCAGAATGAAGTGAAACTACGTGCAAATCATGTGTAAATTGTCTCAGTTAGGAGCCCTTTATCCGAACGTGTATCCCAGCCTGGCCCATTTACTTTTCCCCCATATCTCCTTTAGCTTTAACGAGGCTCGTTAAGATCACAATAATATTCCACCCTCTAATTGCTCATCCCATTCAACAAATATGTGCACACTGCTTTTCGCATTATTTGATCCCTTATTTAGGAGGGATGTGGAGAAGGAGGGGGGAGAGACAGGGAGAAGGGGAAGTGCTGAGATTAGGAGTTGCAAAGATTAAGGAGGAAAAAAAAAAAAAAAAACCAAACAACAAACCAGGCTTTTCCACCAACCGCTCGGCTTCCCTCCCCCCCGTGCATTTGGGCGAAGTGGTAAAAACCTTCCTTACGTACTCCCTAATGATTGGCAGGGCTGACAGTGATTGGCAGCGGCTGCCATGGCAACGCCACAACGACACTCAGAAGACCAATAGAAAAGCGAAACAAAATGTTTCAGCGCTGCACTCACTGTGGATTTAGGGGAGATATTATGAGGCTGTTGTCATTAGGGCGATCGCTGTTGAATCACTGAATCCTGACTCGGCGGCGGCGCGGGGCCGGGTGTGTGTGAGTGCGTGTGCGTGTGGGGTGTGTGTGAGCGCGCGTGTGCGTGTGCCCGCGTGTGCGTGTGAGTGTGTGTGCCCCCGTGCCTCTATGTGGCTGTGTGTGCGTGTGCGGGTGTGGATGCGTGCGCGGTGCGTGTGCCCTTTCCTCCCTTCTTCCTCCCTTTCTTTCTTTTCTCCTTGATTTATCTCCCCCTCTCCCCGGTCATCCCATGGTGTTCAGGTCCCCGCTAGAGCTTTATCCCACCCATTTCTTCTTGCCAAACTTCGCCGCCGATCCGCACCACCGCTCCCTCCTTCTCGCCAGCGGCGGCGGCGGCGGCGGCAGCGGCAGCAGCTCGGGCTGCAGCCCCGGTGCCGGCGGCGGTGGAGGCGGCAGCTCCCGGGCACCCCACGAAGAGTTGTCAATGTTTCAGCTGCCCACACTCAACTTCTCCCCGGAGCAAGTGGCCAGCGTCTGCGAGACGCTGGAGGAGACTGGAGACATAGAAAGGCTGGGGAGGTTCCTCTGGTCGCTGCCGGTGGCGCCGGGGGCATGCGAGGCCATCAACAAGCACGAGTCCATCCTCCGTGCCCGGGCGGTGGTGGCCTTCCACACGGGCAACTTCCGAGACCTCTACCACATCCTGGAGAACCACAAATTCACCAAGGAGTCCCACGGCAAGTTGCAGGCCATGTGGCTCGAAGCGCACTACCAGGAGGCCGAGAAGCTAAGGGGTCGCCCGCTGGGGCCGGTTGATAAATACAGGGTGAGGAAGAAGTTTCCGCTGCCCAGGACCATTTGGGATGGCGAGCAGAAGACGCACTGCTTCAAGGAGAGGACTCGCAGCCTCCTGAGGGAGTGGTACCTGCAGGACCCTTACCCCAACCCCAGCAAGAAAAGGGAACTGGCTCAGGCCACGGGGCTCACCCCCACGCAAGTAGGCAACTGGTTCAAAAACCGAAGGCAAAGAGACAGAGCAGCGGCGGCTAAAAACAGGTCAGTGGGGCTGCGGTGCCACGCTCCGGGGCGGGAGGCGAGGTGGGCGGCGGGACCGTGCGGGCGGACGGCCGAGCTCCGCGGCTCGGCGGCCGCCTGGGCGGCAGCGCGCCTCTGCCTCTCCTTTCCTCTTCCTCCTCCTCTTCTCCATCACGGCCACCGGGAGAAATCTGTTCCCCCGTCGGGCGGGTAGGTCTCCTCCCGGCGGCCACAGGGATGCGACGGGGACAGGCACGGCTCAAAGTTGCCTGACGYGCCTCCAACCCTGCCCCGACTCCCTACGGGCTGCCGGGGTTCGGACAGGGCTGGGGCTCCCGGCGGGCATGGGCTGCTCCGTGGGCGCGGGTGTGTGTAGAGTGCGCGGTGCACATCGGCTGCGGCGGGGGCAGCGCCCGACCCTCCCGGCCTCCCTGCATCGGCGGCTGGCGCGGGGGACGGGAAACTCCACGGCTCTGGGTCTGTGGGCTCCGGTTTGGCTTTCGGCTTGCCGGGATCTGCGCCTGGCCGGGCTCTGGCGCGGTTGCCCCGCCGAAAGGCCGAGGCAAGCTGTGAGGTTCAGAGCGGGTTTCGGCAGAGCCGGCGGCTCCGCTCCAATTGTTCGTGCAGCTCTGCATGCTCAGCGGGACCGGCACAGGCATACCCAAGAGCTCTTTGGCATATGGAAAAGAGAAAAAAAAAAAAACCGACCAAAAAAACATTTAAGAGACCGGGAATTTTTTTTTTTTTCTGCATCTCCATTTCTGTGTTTACACCACATGGCGACCTGGCCTCCTGGTCGTGTGTTTCCTGTGCATTTACGCTTGCATTTATTTGCGTGTCTCTCGGTGTCTTTTTCTTTATTTTATTTTTYCTTTCTTCTTTGGCATGATAAAAGCGAGGCACCCTTCTTCATTTCTTTTTTTCCCCTTTCTTTCTCGTTACTCTCGTAAAAATTATTTTGCAAATGGAAATGGACCCTTAATCTAGTTTGACACATTGGTTTTATTTTAATTTAAGTTTCGCTACCTCTGTAAGCGTGTAAACAAAACTTCTTGTTCTTGTAAATGCTGTCTCTTAAATTCCTCCTAATTATAGCACTGGTCCTATTGATTAAAGATTCTGTAGGAGAAATGCAATCTAAAAGTGCCTCGCTATTTAATTTCCATTAAATAGAAAACAGATCAGCTTAGGACTGTAAATAAACAGAAGTTGCCTACGGATGCTTTTGTTGACTCAACGCTGTTGACAGCAGATGAATGCGCCAGGATTTGTAAACGGGAGAAAAACCAAAGACTCTGAAATTAGACATAATAATGAGAAATGTAGAATAAACTGGCTGCATTTTTTCTCGTCTTTGCAGGAAGGTAAATAAAAAAATACCCCAGTGAGAAGCATTTGAGTGAAGAGTGTATTTTAATTCACACTGGCAATCCTAGGCTCTAGAGGTTGAGKCTGGCTGCTCAGTCCAGGACTTTTAGCTCTTATCCCTGAATTAAACATTGTTTGGGTTTCGAGTGGAATACACGGACCCACAGRAATATTTATAATATGCTAGAGAATCTAAAAATTATTTATTGCCTCTTAAAAAAATGTTCAAAGGTAATATTCCCTCAAGCGTTGACAATGAAAGAATAATCAGTTTAAAACTGATTTTGGCTTTCAGATGAAAAAAGRACTTAAATTTCGAGGGCAGAGAAGCGCTATGTTGTACAATCTCCTACTTTTATTTTATTCATARCGCTGAGTCCCTGGGATAGGACCTCCTTCCATCCCTGCCGCAGACCCCAGAGTGTCTGTGCACTGAGAAATATTTAGGCAGGTATTGGCCAGAGCGCATAAAGAGGATCCAGTATGTTTCTTTCCCGCAACGGAAAGGTTCTCCCGTAGGAAACCTCTCCTTTAAGCTTTTCGCGGTGTCCGAGTGTTGAGGGGCTCACCCACACACGGCTTCTCCTAGGCCCGTCGTGCTGCGGGGATGAATGAATGCACTCCGGGGAAAGCGGGGCGCTGCTCGTGTTTTCCAAACGTGGGCACAGGGAAGCGCTCGTCCCCGCGCTCCCCGTCCCGTTTCAGAGCGCGGTCCCTGTCGCTGTGTGTGAGCTGGGCGCCGTCCCCCCCGCGCCGGGGCAGCGCGGCCCGGGCTCACGGCTTGGCCCTGCATCCTCCGCCGCTCCGGGCTGCTCGGGGCGCTGCGGGAGAGCGGCCGGGCCGGGCCGGGCCGGGGGCCGCACCCCGCGGCCGAGGGGTCCGCTCCGTCCCGCTCCGGGCCGGGTCGAACCGCGGGCGCGGCCGTCCCTGGGAGGGCGTAGGGCCGGGCGGGCGCCGTCCCCTCGGCCGCGCCCGGTGTCTGAGCGGGGCTGTGCTGTTGTTTTGTCTCCCGGCGCGATGCAGGCTCCAGCACCAGGCGATAGGACAGAGCGGCATGCGGTCGCTGGCAGAGCCCGGCTGCCCGACACACAGCTCGGCCGAGTCTCCGTCCACGGCGGCCAGCCCGACCACCAGCGTCTCCAGTTTGACAGAAAGAGCCGAGACGGGCACCTCCATCCTCTCGGTAACCTCCAGCGACTCGGAATGTGATGTATGATATCGGAAAACAAACAAACAAAAAAAATCCAAATCCAAACAGCCAAGCACCCTCTCCCCGTCCCGAGCAAAACAAACCGAGGCAACCTAGAATCAGGACACACACACGCATGCACGCACACACACARCCGGGAGGAAAGAAAAGGCCAAACCCGACCCAAACATAATAGCAAACAAACAGACAGGGATCAGAGAATCCACCACCACCACCACCGTCAGCCAACACCACCACCAAGAGATGGAGCTAAAACTTCAACAGTCACAAACGCTGGTGCTGCAGCGGGAAGGGTGGGGGGGAGGGCGGGAAATAATAATTATTATATATATAAAAAGAAAGAAAAAAAAAACAAAGCAAAAGTGACAATTGTATTCTTTTTAGGACAAGCACGATTTCTCCTTTGCGCTTTTCCATGGACGCATTTCACCCACTTGCATGATGATGATGATTAAATTTGTATCTGGGAAAAAATATTCTCTATAGTAAAGGAAAACAAACAGAAACCAGACAAACAAATGCAAACTCCGATCGAATTTGTACAAAAATCAAAAATAAAAAAAAAGTTAAAAGGAACTCCTTGAAGAGGGAAATAACAAATGTTTATCGCCTTTTTGTTGGTCCTATTTCTCTCTTTCTCTCTTCCTCTCTCTTCCTCTCTTGGTTTTTTGTTTTTTTGTTTTTTTTTTTAGTCCAAGTGATGGTCCAGCCAAGATGCAATTTTCTGTTTTTTTGTTCCGCAGACAATCATTTTATTCGTAAGCACCTTTTTTTCTACACTTCTGTCACTGCCTGTGTGGGTACTGGTTATAAATGTGGAAAAAGAATAGTTATGACTGTAACAGATTTTTATTTTTATTTCAAAATTTTATATGAATTATGTATATCTTAATGATGCGGTCATTTTCCCAGTTTGTAATATATGTGTAGAAATGCTTGTATATGATATTTACTCTCCTCTTTCTTTCTTCCTCCCCTCTCTCTATCTCCCTCCCACCCTTTCTCTCTCCTTTTTATTTTCCTTGACTCGGTGTTCCTTGCACAAACTTAGCTGTCAAAATCTGACATGCTAGGTTTTCAAAAGGGACCTCAGCGATAGAAAAAAAAAAAGAAAAAGAAAAAAAAAAAGCTTAGGGTGCAACTGTAGTTATCTTATGCAAAAGCTATTTTGAGTATTTCATAGCAGCTTTGGGGGGTCTCTTCTTAAACTCCACGTAGGACGCTTAAACTATTGTTTCCTTAACTGCGTGTTTATCTATATGTACAAACTTTCTAAATCAAATACAGTATTCCATTTTCTTATCTACCCAGCGATGTTGGTGTTTCTGTCCGCCACGGAAAATCACTCCTTCCCCGTGGGCTCCTCGCCCCACGCTCTGTCCCGCCGCTGGGCTCGCAGCGCTGCGCGGCCCCTACGCCCCTCTGGCCCCCGTGTTTCCCGGCTCGGCGGGACATCCCGGAGGGATTTTACAGGGACCAAGCGATCCTGTGAGGACGCTGCGGGCGGCAACGGGGACACAGTGCTGCGATAGCGGTGGCGGCGTGGGGCACGGCCATGTCCCCCTGTGTCCCCTCTGCCACGGCGGGCTCCTTCGTTTCCCCCCACCCCGGTCATTTCTTTTTTTGTGCAATGCGAGTTAAAAAGCTTTCTCCGACTGTCTGTTTGCAGGGACGGGTGTCTCCAGAGAGTGGTTAGACATTTCGAAATTTGTTTTGTAGCTTTAAATGAAAACAAAAACAAAAACTCTTCGCCCTTAACGGGTTGCAGCTCCTCCCCTCGAATCCGGAGTATATTGTAATGTGCTGAAAGAAGCCTTTATTTGCATGACTAACAGTATTTCAGCATCTTTCTTTCTTCCTTTTTCCTTTTTTTTTTTTCTTTTTCTTTTTCCTCAAAGTTTTGCTTTGCCCTGGGCAGATTATTCAGCCGTGAATTAGCAAGAGGTAAATTCTAAACTTGTTTTTACTTGAAAATACAATTTTGAATATTATCAGGGATTTAGAGGGAAACGTGCTTGGAATTTCTTGACCATTTCCAAACTAATGTGGACTTTCGATCTACCTTTGTGTTGCCCGAGTCCTCYCTGCCTCTTCCCTCCTCCCTTTTTTTGGTGAAATCCAACCTAGGTCTACCGAGAGACATAGGAAGCGCATGGACTCTTCCCCCCTCCTTCCTTCCCCCCACACCTCAAGAGGCTACCTGTGGATTTAGGAGAACCGCCRTAGGGTGCGAGATCTTAGACCAAACCACTAATAGGTAACTTTAGGGAATAAGCTGATGTGCGAATACGTTCACACACCTGAGGTTCCCCTAAGAAAAAGCGAGCGCGTAGGGAACACGTCCCCGCGTGTGGGGAGCCACCGCGGGGAAGGACRCGCATGGCCCGAGGCAGCGGCCGCCCCGTCGGGGTTCGCCTCCTCCTCCTCTCGGGCTTCGCTCGACGTGCGGCTCGGCGGCGGGGTCCTCCCCACGGGCAGCTCCGGCCGCGGCACTGGCCCGTCGCCAACACGAGTGGGGAGTTAATAGAAAATAAATTCCGGTCGTACGAAGCTGAAATGGACGGGAATCGCCCGGGGGCGGACGCACAATAGGCCTCCCGTGTTCCGCGTGGGTGGTGTGATGGACCCSGTCCTTCCCCTCCCCCACGGCGCTTTTTGAAGGGAGAAATATTACCCAGGAGGGGATAAAAGGTTCCCCAGTGGCCCGCACCCTCGCCGGGTCTCACGCTAGGGCTTAGGCTGCTTTTTCTCTCCCCGCCGGCAGAGAGGCAGCGGAGAGGCCTTTAGAAGMACAAACTGGCCTTCCAGTCACCTCCCGATTCGGGTAGGAAGACCTTTGATGTCGGTACATTGTTTTTAAGGGCAGTGTTTCTGTTCCTCTCTGGCAGCAATGTCACTCTCATCCAGCGGTATTTTTAACAGAATTTAGTACCTGAAAGGATTGAGAGGYGTGAAAGTTTGGGATAGAATTTTTTTTTCTTTCTTTTCATTTTCGCATCTCGAAGCTGCAGCTAGAAGGCGTCAAGCCGGTTGCAATAATCTACCTCAGCTCGGCCTTACAYTGATAGGTTTGGATTTTTCTTCCCTCTGATTAAGGCTCCCGAAGATTGCCCCGTCGTGCCGTAACTCTTAGGGGAGGCCAGAGATAGCCCTTAGTCTCGCCCCACCCGTACCTGGCCTTAAACTCCAGCACAGCTTAAGCTTGAAGGCAGGGCCTTTCCTCTCACGGTATTTGTCACCCCCATCCCCAAAACCTAATTCTTTGGTCGGATCCCCAGCCCAAACCCGAAGGAGGAGCTGCCCCAGCCGCTCTGGGGGTGTCGGCCTCTCCCGGGAGCCGGCGGGGTTTGCGCGGGGCCGCCGGGGGTGGCGGGAGAAGACACACGCTCACCCAGGGGGCGTTGGTGCCTGCACGGTTTCGGGGTGCCAAGGGTGCAGTTAATGATATGCCTTTTCAAAGCCGGGCTTCGTAATGGATAAATGATGTTGTTTTAGGATTTGCATAAAAAACCTGAATGGCTGATTGAGGTGTAAATCTATGAAAAGCTGCGTTTAAGCCTTCTCACCCTCTAAGTCCATCTGCCCCGGGAAGATAGGSCCTATCGAGCCCCGCCAAACTGGAGGGCTGCCTCCTCCCTGCCCCTGGCCCGGCATYATCCACAGTCCCTTTCCAGCATTAGTTTATTATCCGCGCCGAGCCCGGCCTCTGATTAAGATGAAATTACTCGGAAGCTGAAGTGCGTCTGATCAATATTTAAGAGAAAGCCGGAGGACAGGAGGCAGATGGCCGGAGCCCGGCAGCACACAGGGCCGCCTCCCCGGGAGCCGGTCGGGGCTGCCCCGCTCCCCCGGTCCGCGCCGTCCCGCACCGCCGCCTCTCGCCCACCGCCTCGGGGGCACTGCCCGACCCCGCCCGTCGGAAGTCGGGCCGAGAGCAGCCGGTTCCGGAGCAGTCTGGAGACGTTAGTTAACCCCCTCAGCGCCCACCCCTCGCCTGTAACACTGCTGTGGCACTGCCTTCATCCCCAGCTAGCTCGGGTTTGCGGATCCACCGGCGTGCGTGCCACCCGGCGTGGAGGTCTGGGAACCACCGACGCCACCTGTCTGCTTTCCTCCCTCCCTCCCTCTCTATGGCCGCTGCCCGAGCCCTTTAGCATGGCTGGGGGTTCTTTGTGTTCCTGCTGGGCCGTGGCTGCTGCTGGCCCTCCACGGTCAGGAGTGGGCTTCGGTCACCCTCATCTCTCTCTGTCTGATCGATTACAGCAGCCTTTTCGAGGGACTTGAATCTGCTTGCCCGTTGCCCTCAATTTTTAGCATACCCAGATGAGGTTACTGCCCCGGCCCGAAGTGAAAAGAAATGTGGACGTTGGTGCCCTGGTACTGCTCTGATTTCCTCGGTTAGCTGAGCACAACTTTCTATTCGTGTTTATTCATGCAGTTTCTTATTGAGCTCCACATCGCTCTGGCCTGGATTCCTCGTGTAGGGAGAGGATAGACAAACATTGCCTTTTTCTAGAGCACACACACGCACACGGGTGTGCAGACTGACACACTCCCACACATACACACACGCACGCACGCACACATGCACGAGTACAAAATGCAGAGAGTCTGCAGCCACATCACCACCCTGCAGAGAGCCCAGATACACAGAAGTTTGTGAATGGTGTGTAAAAAAGGGGGAAATGAACCAAACCATCCAGTTGCAAACTGATCAAGGGATGGAGAAAGCAGGGAGGCGGGTGGGTGTCTGTGTGTCTCTGTGGGTGCAAGGAGTTGGGAAGAGAAAGCACTAAGGATATTRCCAACCATCATGGTAAATATTCCCTTCTAGCACGGTAATGACAAAAGGCAAGGGCTGTCGGGTTATAGCTGTGATTAAATGATACGAAAGGGATTTGTGTTGCCGTGTCTGGAGGAAGGACGGCTGCRAGGTTTTGTTTTTGACGCTGTTCTTTTCTATTTTGAAAGCAAGGTGCTTTCAGACCAGGAGGCTTCAAAGTGGCTTGGCACCTCGCGATCTGCAAGAGAAGAAAGATGTTGAAGAGTATTGAATAAAGTGTAGATATAAATACCCCCAAGTGTACGGTTAGAATCACCTCGCTGTAAGCGAGATGAAGTGGCAGAGTCGTTTCTCCCTGMGGCAGAAGGGTCCTTTGCCGAACAGGCAGTAAAAGAAAGACGAGAACTACACTAGAAGTCAAGATTTATGTTATGTAAATCCAGACTGCGACTGACATTAATTCCAGTCCTAGTTATTAGAGGGGCATTTAGCAATACTGCATATT